GCTTAGCATTCTTTTGAGAGTATACCCTATTTTTATATGTCAATGTAAATAAGGCAATGATTTTATTTAGACAGCGCCTCACTGTGGAGTCCAGGCTTGCCGGGGACTTATCCTCTTCCTTCAGCCTCCAGAAGTGTGGGGAGTTTAGTTGTATCTATTTAGGCTCTCTCCGGTAGTCATCCCCTTAGACAATATTAAAACAATACAAAATATTTTTTTTCTTAGAGTAGTATTAGGGGCTCTGAGACCTAAGGCAAAACATAAGAATATTTTTCTTTTTAAAAATATCTTTAACTCTTGCTGCCCAGATATTCAGTTCAGCCTCAAACGTGAAGCAAAATCAGTCCTCCTGCTTCAGTTTTTCTAGCGCTAGGATTATAGTCCTGGCAGGGAGATCATTTTAAAATTAATGATTAGTACCGTGTTCTTAGATAAACATGCACAGTGAGTTCCAGGATACATAACTCTTGAGGCTTCGCGGAGCCAGACTCCATAGGGAAGAAGAGAAATTCAATTGCAGATGGTTTCTAACCAGTGTTCAGAGCTGTGAACGACTATAATAGATGAGGAATAGGAAAATGGCACTGTTGATGGCTTCTGTGGGTGCTGCTGAGACAGGGAACTTTCTCCTCCACCACACATTGCACTAATTACATCATGCAGTAAGGACTGAACAAGAAGCCACACACACAGCCTATGCAGAATAACGGCTGTGAGATACTTACACACACTGACGAGGTGCCTGTAGGTTTAGTAACTGATGGTAGAGCTGTTCAATTTGCTTGTTCCCGGCAGGAAAACATCTCTAGTTTGTCATGAGATGGGGGTTCTTCCTGTGCTACTCCCGAGTAGCTGGGCTACAGGTGTTCATATCTGTCGACTCTTATTCTGTATGGCGGGCTAAGCACGTTGTAACACTGAGGCTTAGTTTATAAGAAACTGTATTAGAAATACAGTTGCAAAGATGGCAACAGAAAGCTGTAGCTTTTAGATTTCAGATGACCTTGCAAACCGCTGGTGGAGTCTGATGGTGGCCTGGTTTAGATTCTGTCATGTACTGTGACTCTGGGCGAGACAATCGCTATCTCGATTTGCTCATCCATAAAATGGAGGTGATAAACTTATCTTGTGGGAAGAAATGAGTCACTGAGTGGAAAACTTAACGTTTAACATGTGTGTCCTGAGCAGAGTAAGCAGGGCTTTTCATGTGACAGCCAGCAAGGAGTTCGAACCCACTGACCTCTGCGCTGGAACTTAGTAGAGCCACCCAGTGTCAGTGTTGTTAGGTCAGGCCCTACCACATTATTCTTCTTATTATTCTTCTTATTATTATTATTGTAATCCAAAGTGCAAAGCTTAAACAGTGTGTGGTGGTGCACATCTCATCCAAAGGGGGGGCTGAGGCAGGATTAGCTCAAGTTCAAGGCCTGACTTGACTACTGTGCATCACTACTTGGTCTCAACCAAATCAAAATATACAGAAAGGGAATTAGTGAAACTTAGGAATTGATCACATAGGAAGTGGCCATTCCTAAGACTAGTGAGCCTGGGCAGTCCATACTGTTCTTACCGGCAGAGTGACTTGGGTGGTATGTCCTTGCTCCTGAACTGAACAGTTATACAACGAAAGCATGCATTCCTGTTAAAGGTCAGTCAGGCTGGTTTGGGGAATTTAATTAACGGGAGCAATTAGAAACTCTCCTGACTTTGCTTTAAATTAAATACTGTGTTGGTAAGATGCACTTTCTTTACTTGAATAAGTTGTCATCTGGCCACTTTGACAACAACAAAAGTTAATAATTATAGTGCTTTCTCAATTTCTCCTCCTCTTCGGGGATGAGGATCGAAGCTATTCAGAGCTGTGCTGGGCTGCCCTGGCTTTCTTGATTGATGTGCATGCATTTTCTTTGGCTTTACTATTACCGATGACTTACACTCCACGCTGGCTTGTCCAGTCCGTGTGTTCTCTGTTTAGTTTTTTTGTGAAGTGTGAGTGTGCGTGCATGAGTTCACAGAGGTCAGAAGAGGGCCTCAGATCCCCTTGAACTAGAGTTACAGATGATTGCATCCCATGTAGAAACTGAGAACCCAAAACAGCTCTTGTAAGTACAAAAAGTGCTAAACCATCTCCAGTCCTCGTCTTTGTCTTTGTTTACATTTGAGACAGCGTCTATCTACCTAGCCCTGGCTGTCCCGTAACTTAGAGACTAGGCTGGCCTCTGCTTCCCAGTGCTGGGATGAAAGTCACAGCACCAGGATTTTTTTTTTTTTTTGAGACACTGTCTCCTGTAACCCAGACCTGTCTTGCTATCTAGTCAAAGATCACCTGATTCTCCTGTTTATACCACTCCAGTAGAGGTGTCCGCCACTTCTGGCTTCCTTGTTTTAAAGGAATATTTGCCTATAATGCCTTTGCCATGCAGCTGTAGATTCACTACATGTGTAAGAGGCAGGGCCTCCATTTCATTTGTTCCTATTTGACGGCTATCCATTTACTGAGATTACACTGCTGTGGTATTGCTGTGAATCAAGTGTCGTCCATTTATACATTTATGGTGTTTGAGACATGGTCTCAGTTTAGGCAGGCCTTCAATTTCTTAATTGTGCCTTTACTTGCTAGTTGGGAGATAACACGTGAGCCAGCACACTTGACTCTGGGTCCTTTCTACCCAGCACATCTGGATTCCTCGTAAAACAAAGGTTCAATGAAGGAAAAGCATATTTTAAAATAGGGATAATAAGCTGGGTTTGGTGCACACACCTTTAATCCTCACACTTGGGAGGCATAGTTAGGCTGGTCTCTGAGTTCCAGCACAGCCAGGGTTACATAGTTAGACCCTGTCTCAAAGAATAGGGGAAACTTGCCGATATGAACTGGTTATATCTTAACTTAGCCATTTCCTAGCACCCTGACTACAAATTGTTCATAGAGCACACGCTCCATTGCATCGGTTACAAATGGTTTCCCAAACCTCTTATGTTTTTATATGAGAAATCAAACATGTTCCACTCAGTATCAGCCTGTGCACATTTTTCCAGTAAAAACAAAACCACAAAACACAAATATCCATGATGTGATTTTAAGTGTTTTCATCCCACTAAACTGTCAGATTTTGGGCCTGTAACAGTTACACAGAACTCTGTGGAGCATGGAGATGATGATCTGGACCTCTATTTCAGATTAATGACATGATCTGCCAAATTCTACCTCACAGCGCTGCATAAAGTAATCAGAAGTTAGCTGGGGTAATCTATGTTTGTTAGTGATAGTGTTTTAGAAGTTTGTATGTAAACATAGGCTTTATGTTACTAAAGGAAGATATCATGTATCAGAGATGAAATGAAAACATGGTAGTGTTCTTTACTAGACCATGTTCTGATAAAGAGAGGTGAGAGTGAATACAGACACACTTACACACCGCAGAGAAGGACTGTAGTCAAGCTAGAACCAAGAAGACACCACCCTGAGGTGAGAGCCGTAAATACTTGTAGAAATCTCTTTGGTTGACTTTCCCCTGTCTACTGGAACATATGCAGCCTTTCCAAGAGCGAATCTTCCCACCTGGGCTGCATTTTGGGAAGTGATTTTAAAGCAAGGGGCATGGCAGTTACCTCAGGAAAGCCTTTAGCCACTTCAAAGCAGGGTCACGGGATAGATGACCAGTGAGTGAAGACCTCAGGGTTCCTGGGAACAGAGTGGGTGGAGAGTGCAGCCTGCCCTGCCCACCACTTGTTACAGGAAAGGCTGAGTTCCTCAATCATGTGGGGGTGGACTCCTTTTACTCTGCAGGCCTGTGCTCTTGGAGAGGTGCTTGTTGTGTACTCCCTAGTTTGCCCTGTAGAGCAAACACTAGTCCTCAACAGGGCCACCCCGTGGGTTAGCTTTCTTCCCTGTCTCCAACTGAGTTCGGTGCTTTGTGCTGCTGTAGACAGTATTGGCACCTGTGATAAGCCTCATAACCTTCCTATCCCTCCACAACACTGAAAGGTCCCTTTGAAATGCAAGGCCGGTTAAGACAGTGCAGTGAGCCAAGGGCACACATTTCACACCAGAGAAAAGTGGGGAGGAAAAAGCAAGGTGGCAGAGCAGGGAATTCAAGACAGGCAGCTAAGATCCTGACAGCTTATCTGGGAGCAGCACTTCCAAACATTAGTTATGGGTACTTGGAAACCTGGAGCTTGAGGCAAAGGAGTGAGACCCGGGCTAGCTCTGCTTTTTGTGAGCCTGTGCCATTACCCCGTGTCTTACTTAATCTTGACTCCTGGGCCTCAGGCAAGGCTTTTAAGCTCTGATCTGAGGCTAAATCCACAGTTTCCATCCTTTTCAGAATTAGCCCGGGGGACTTCCCGGGGCTGATCTCCCGGTCATTTTACAGTGGGTGGAGGGGTGGAGGGGTGGTGGAGGAACAGACTGACCCAGAGCACCTACACAGAGACAGCAGCCCTTTTCTAGGTCTGCCACTCCCTAGCTGTCAGTCTTGAGATCCATGCTGACCTTGTTCTAACTGCCCAGGCCAGACAGGTCTCAAGGCAGAGGCACCTGGAACAATCCTGGCTTTGTGTTGTGAAGAATCTTGTCCCTGAACTTACAATCTGTTGTTCAGTATCTAACCTCTCCAGTCCCGGAGACAGCCAGAACGGCCCAGAGACTCACTGGGAGAACGAGGCAGAGGGCAGGGGGCACAGCTGGCCGGCATTCGCAAGAACCTCCGCGTGTGAGGGAGGCAGAGATTCGGGGCGCGCGGGGCGCCACCGGGGCGCAGGCCGTTCGGCCGTTCCTACTGCGGGCCTGGTCTGAGGTTTCTCCCCGTAGCTCTCGAGGTGGCGATGGGCTCACTAAGCCGGCAGGTAGGCAGTGCCGTGGCGGCGGCGGCAGGCGGTCCTGGAATGTGCGAGGGGCGTGATGACAGCGACTGCCGCCGGCCTCTTTGCGCAACACCTTCGCTGTATATATACCGGGCGCTCAGCCGCGCTCCACCTGGGTGCCTCCTGCTGTCCCTTACCTGCGAAGGGAGCGCTGGTGAGTACACCGCCGCCGCTACCGCGCTGCCGGCTGCTTCTGCTCTCAAGGATCTCCACTGAGTTTTTAAGTGACTTCATTCTTGTAGACACCCCTCAAGGGACTTGACTGGCCCTGGGCTGCAGAGGATATAAGAACACATCTTCCTAAACTTTTAAGAACTTTTTTTTTTTTTAAAGATGGTTGTGACTGCTGTCAGGACAACTCTTAAAACTAGTGTAGGTGGACAAGCTCACCTGGAGCTTCTGTGATAGCTGTGTCTGTGGCTTGGGGTGAGAGGTTCTACCCGGCTGGCCTCACGCTTTGTCTGGGTTACTACCTGTGTGACTCCCATTAGGTCCCTGCTGTGCAGTGGCCCTCCTCATGACACCTGGGTCTTTCTTGCAAATTCTAGGTTTGTTCTGGCTGCTGCAGGATGCTGACCCTTTTGGGGGGACTTGGCCAAAGGGTTTTGCCATTCAGGTAGATGTCTTTAGCTCAACCTAGGATTTGATTTCTGGTCCTTAAGGCAGAGAGACATGCACAGGGTCAGGGGAGACAGTGGGCTCAGGCCAGAAAGAGGAGTGCCTGTTTTGGACTTCAAATTCCATGGGGACAGGTACCTGCCGTAGATACTGTGGCCATTTTCTTAAAACCCATGGATCATTGGTCCTGTATTTTTGGGGATCTTCCAGGAGAGTTTTGTGCTAGCAGGGTGGCTCTGTCATCCGTCTCCTTTCCTGTCTTGTAGTAGACTGAAACTTGTTCCCTGTTAGGCATTTCTGGAAAACCTGAGCCTCCCTACAGTGGGCATTGTTTGGGACTGAGAGACTGTCTTATCCTATGCCAGCTGATAATGACCTTTTCTGTTTTACAAGCTTTTGTAAATGGTGGTAAGAAGGGCAGGCTTTGTAATAGTTTTGGATGCTACACAAGTTTCCCTCCTCCCCTACCTCTCCAGGGTACCATGACTGTAGCTGCCAGGCACAGAATAGCCAGAGTTTGAGAAACAAAAGACTCCCAAGAAAACAGTATTTGGGGGACTTGATTTGGAATATACTAGATTTCAAATAAAGATTGTCACATGTTTATAAATTTAGCTTTTAACTTCCCTAAACAGGGCAGAATAATAAATTTACAGGTCAGCCACAGGACACATTGTCAACCTAAGGGCTGAACTCAGAACCTTATGTTTGGAGTCGCTGTCCCACTAAACTACATAGCTAGCTTTTGGGTTTTTCAGACTGTCTCATGTAGGTCCAATTATCTTGAATTAGTTATCCATTACCATAATTAGTTATCCGCCCCAAGTGTGTGCTGGGATTATAGACTTGACCTACCACACCTGACTGAAATTTACTTTACAAATTTAAAAAGGTCTTGTGGCAGTTTACATGAGCCCAAGTTTATAGCAATAGGCTAAAATGTCTTGAAATATAACTTAGTATCTTTCACCTAAAATCTAAAACTAGAAGCCATTCTCCAATGTAAGACATAGAGCAGTTAGCTGCCCTCCCCCAAGTACGTGTTTAAGCCCAGACCATCCTCAGAGACTTGTGACAGTCCTCCTGCCTCAGCTTCTGCAGTGTTGGGATTTCAGGCATGCAGCGCTAGTGCCACACCTTTCTGCTCACTCCATCCCTCCCCTTCAGGGGATTATTCTGATGCTTACAGGAAGCTAAGGGGCAGCAGCTCTTCTACCCTTGGTAGTTCTGGGTCATTCTTCCAAAGTGTAACAATTCCTCAGGCCTCCTGAGAACATTAGGTGTTCTCCGAAGCTGGTTCATTCTGACTGAGCATTTTTTCTGTATCTCTGGTTCTCTCTCATAGTCCTACAGTTAGCACTAACCGATAAGCATAAAGTAAATCTCTCCCTCTGTAGAGTGGTAAGTTGGTCTCAAAAGACCACCACTAGATGACTTTGCTACACACCTGCAACCCCATTACTTTGGAGCACCTGAGACAGGAGGATTGCCCTGAGTTCTGTGGATTATATGGTGCATCGGGCCCCCACCAATAGACAACCCTAAAAATGCTGAACAACTAAGGGAGTTAATATATGTACATGGCTTAAGCCTGAGCCTGTGAGTCAGAATTGACATTGGGCCACCTGTCAGTGACAAGCACTCTCCTTTACTTCAGTGGTCATTTCTTAGGCTACGGCTATACCTGGTGAGAGGACACAGGGCCACTGACCTGGGCTATTTCACATTTTCATCCTTGGGCCTTAGCTAGGCGAGCTCAGAAAACAGCTAGTCCCAGACAGGTCCTGGTTGGAGAAGCCCAAAGAATGCAAAGTGAAGGGCGTGGGTGACTGCCAGGTACCTCACGTTTCCCTGTTTGAGTCCTAGAAGAGCCCAGAAGTTTCCCCTTCTGAGCCTGCCAGGAGGAATAAGTTCCTCTTGGCATTGTGTGTGGCTGCAGGAAATGGAGCCAAGAGTGAGGCTCACAGCCAGCTCTGCAGAAGTGGGCCTGGGGTGCCCTCAGGACCCAGGGACCTTGTGATCATTCTTGGTCTTGTTGGGAAATTAATGCAGTATCTCTCCATCCTTGCTTGCTGCTTCTGGCAGGTAACAAGAGTGCAAGAAAGAACATGGTGTTGGACAGGAAAGCAGAGAGAACAGTGGACATAGGGGACACCTTTGGAGGGGCCCAACAGTTAAGGCCTTTCAGGAAGCAGGTTGAGTGGCATGTCTCTGGGTCAGTGACCTTAGATTCACATGGAATCCCTCTATCTGCCCTGCTTAATATTCTGTCCTCCTCCCAGAAGTCATACCTGGGGGACAGTTGGGTCTGAAGTCTTTGTTGGGGAAAGCAGCCAGCCATTACAGATTTTTTTTTTGTTTTGTTTTGAGACAGGGTTTCTCTGTATAGCCCTGGCTGTCCTGGAACTCACTCTGTAGACCAGGCTGGCCTCAAACTCAGAAATCTGCCTGCCTCTGCCTCCCAAGCGCTGGGATTAAAGGCGTGCGCCACTACTGCCTGGCTCATAACAGATTTTTTGATCACTGTATTTGGGGATAGGGTCAGGGACAGAGGAGTGGGATTCCTGCAGTTGTAGTTGTGCTCCTGAGTCTTTGGTGATTAAATGGGGCCTGAAGACTTCCCAATGACTCCTGGCTGTGAGGTTTATGGTGTATGAAAAGGCTTCTGGCTTTGGAATGTGTATCCCTGGGTGTTCTCTCTCTCTCTCTCTTTCCTTCCCTCCTCCCCTCCATTCTTCCTTCCCTCCACCTGCTTTCTCTCACATACAGGGCTGTGTGACTTTTTTTCCACTTTGCCTTCTTTATTGTACCCTGGAAAGAAAAGTTCCTTCTTTGTAGGAGTCATGTCACCCCAAAGGCAGTGGTGTGACTTCCCTTGTTCTCTTTGCCTCTATTTCCTTCTTTTTGTCTTCGAAGGATCAGGTCACAAGATACCACTAATGTCCTTTGGAGCCCTTATTGTGCCCAAGGCTGGCAGTAATGGGTTCATGTGCACCATGTAGTACTTAAGGATAGTTCATGGTGTAACTCAGTTTCCCAGTTGAGTGACTGTGCCAGATGCTGCTCAGACCATGTGCTCCTACACATGGTATCAATCTTCATAAGAGAGCTCTCTGGGAGGAATACGACACTGTTTCAGGTTTGAGATGATGACATTGAAGCCTAGATGTTTAGTGAGTCCACCTCCACCAAGGTTCTGGGTCTCACAGCTGTGTGCCAGAGACGTGCTACTTGCAGGGACTTGGATGATCCATGGAATGATGACCTAGTCCAGGGTCCAATTGTAGGGTATTATTTGTTTGCTCCAGAGTCCTAGATGCAGGCTCTGGCTCATCCATCCTGCATAAGAGGCTGAGAGCATGGAGCCAGTGTACCAGAGCACCAGAGAGGCGTGGCTGGATGGTTGCCGGTTGTCATACACTTCCGACGTTCAGGGCACATGCAGCTGTGAGGGCGGAGAGTAAGGAAGGGAATGGCCGAAGATTGTGGGCTGGGGGGATGCTTCCAGGGCTTGCCCAAGATGGCTGTGCCAAGCGTGTGGATCTATGGATCCTGTCCTGATCTACCAGAATCTGGCCTAATAGGTGATGGAGGACAGACAAAAAGCCCCAGCTATCGAGTACCAGATTGCTTCATAGTGGAAGCATTGTGCCAAGTAATGTTCAGAATAAGGAAGTTTCCCAAGAATGAGCACAGGTAATCAGCAGAAATCCATCTCCCTTTCGGCATAAACTAATAATAAACGGCCCTGGAAGTGGATGAAGACAATGAAGACCTGCCACAAAGACTGGGGACATTCTTTCTTGTTGGGTTTGGGTCAGTCACAGAAATCTGGTCACAGAACATATCCTAACAGGGAAATAACCACCCGAGTCACACTTGACTGCTGTGGCAAGTTCCTTGGCGGGCTGTGGCATGAGGCCACAGTTTCTAGGGAATAATTGCTCTAGCCAACAAATCTCAGCCAATCCAACCTTCCTATGTGATGAGGGACAGCCTCACTCAGGTTGAACTGCTACTTAGTCACAATTGGCATGTATCGTTGCATTGCCTCAGCAGGCCCAGAGTACTGTCTTTTCTATTTGCTGGCTAGGTTCATCACTGGGCACTGGAAGAGCAATGAGCCGGCTGCTGCCCTCTGAGAGCTTACTTTCTATTTGTGGAAGTGAGGTAAAAGTTCAGGAGCAGGACAGTCCCTCACTTCCAGATTATTAGAAGTAGGAAATGGCTCTAGAAGTTTCTCAGCGTGCCTCCAAGAATAGAGAACCCCTTATGTGAGACCCCTTCATTCCTCTGGTAATTTCCCAATTAGCTCATGGCAGTCCTAAAGGTTTGTCTGTGTATCCATACTGCTTTTTAAATATTTGTTTCACTATCCTGATCTGGCCTACAGCTTGCCATTTTCCTACACTGGTCTTTCAAATTCTGGGGTTATAGGAGTTCATTACTTTGCCCATCTTAAGGTGGCTTTTTGGGGGGCTGGGGGCAGGTATCTGAAACCAGGTCTCACTATGTACTCCTGGCTAGCCTGGGATTATGTGTAGTCTAGGCTGACCTTGAACTCAGATAAGCTTCCCTCTTCCACCTGAGTGCTGCCATTGGGGTGAGCTTCAATGCTTAGTCTTAGAGTTAGTTCTCCCCTGAGTTAGTCACAACACCCAGCTTGAAGTTTTAATTCTATATCCTAGTGAAAAATCTTCCTGTGGTCATTTTAGAAAGACACTGTATAACCACAAGGGCTACAGTGTGCTGGACGCCATTCTGAGAACCCCCATTGTCACAATTGTCATTTTACATACAGGCCAAAGCCTTACCCAAGGTTTTGGAAGCAAAGAAAGCTACCTAGTGAATCCAGGAAGTTGTAATATAAAACTCCAACTTTCCTCTGGAATACTAGTCTATGGTCCCTTGGGACACTTGACAATATTTGAAGATATTGTTAAATTTGGGGTGAAGGGGTCATGACATTTAGTAGAGACGTGGGTAATGCTAAATATCCCTCAGTTCCTTGACCTGCATGTCACTATTGTCAATGTCTAGGAAAACAACACCGGAAATGGAGATCATACCAGTAAATGGTCTGCCACCCTTTCCCAATTCCACAAGTAAAATTACACTAGAGGGAAGACAAGGCATGTTGATGTGACTCCACATTGTGGGTGAGGCCCCAGACTGGCAGGACTGTATAAGGGTGTCTCTTCCATGGCGGCTAGGCTGCTTTGGCAGTAGTGTTCCCCCCACCCCCAACACCTACTTTGTGCATAAAGCCTGAATAAGAATGGATGTCGGGTACCAGCGTGGCACTGGGCAACTCTTTGATGCTCATTAAATGGTCCTAGTTATTAGAAATGAATTAAGAGATGTCATTCTGGTGTGTGATGAAGTGCCAGATGAGTCATTCGGTTGGCACGTGCCAGGACTGAGAAGGGCAAGGCCAGAGCAGAGAGGAGGGAGGATGTGGGTTGAGCAGTGAAGCACTGTCACCGTCAAGATAGAAGTGAGACTTCAAAGTGGAAGGACCACTCTGGGGGAGGCACACCTAGGAGAGAGGCATCAACTGAGGACAGCAATGGGCAGTGGAATTTGGGGGTGTCTATATAGCACAACTGTATGCTAGAAAAGTTGATCCTTGGGAGATGTAGAGTCACACTAGGGAAACTGAGACTTCCAGTTGGGAGCTACAGAGTCCCTGGTTGGTGAGATGGTATCTAAACTGAGGCAGGAAGTGCTTCTGGGCAGAGTCAATAGGCCTGGGAGATTTGGGAGCAGTCATGGATGGCTTTGAAAGTCTGGGACAGTGATAGCAAGAGTTATAAAACAAGAACGTCGCACTGGAGGGACCATGTGTCTCAACTGAAAGGTGAAGAATTAGCTTAAGTTGGGGTGAACTTGAAGTTGAGACCGCAGCAGGTGTCCAACACTATACAGGTTGATAGCCCCGGGGAGAATGCAGGTGGGACATTACTCCTGTACACTCACCTAGGGCAGGCAGGAAGCTCTAGCTTGACCTCTGAGTCATAGAGTCTTCCCCTCCTCCTACCAGCTTTGTGTGCTCTGGAAGTGGCCATCGGCTCCAGTTTTGCATGTGAGCTTTGGCAAGATCACTCCCCACTTAGCAAGTGCTGCACCTTTGGTCTGAGCCATTTCATCCCTGATGCTGACTCAGACACCCCTGTTCGTTCCTTCTCCGTCTGTCAGGATGGACAGGCCAGGGAGTTCCTGTTTTGTTGGAGAGCAGGGGCTGAGGTATCTTCTCACTACATTATCCCATGTTGGTCTGGAACTGACAACCCTCCCAATCTCACCTCCCAAAGACAGGGTCCTAGTGAGTTCTCTGCCTGACATTAATTCAGGGAGTGGTGTATACAGACTCTGGAGTGGGAGACTCTCAGATAACTGGCTTTCCCATCTGAGAGCTTTGGTGTTTTTCCTGTGTAAATACCATGAGGTCACATCATAGAGAGGTAAGTGTGTGACAAACCAATACAACTGTCTTTCTTGTTGTTGCTGCTGATCTTAGACATGTTAGACAAGTGTTGTACCAATAGCTAGCTCCACAGCCCAGGATTATCACCTTGCACTGTGTGTGTGTGTGTGTGTGTGTGTGTGTGTTACCATAGTGTCCTACTCTATAGCTGAGCCTGATCTGGAACCTCCTATGTAGTCAGGCTGGCTTCAGAATCATCATAGACCGTATACATGGCTAGAATCAGCCCGTTTAGTCTGAAGTTGGATAGATGTGGGCATCTCATCCCCACTCTGAACCCTAGGGAATGATTTTGGATCTTTGTTACCCTACTGCAACCATGCTAGGATAGGACACACTGTGCCTCTTATTCATAGTAAAGAACACTTGCCTATGTTGGCCACCTTTTTTGACCTGCTGTGACACCCTGATCTGCTTTTATTAGAACACACTTTCCTTCCCCATTTCTTATTTTACAAATCTGTAAATGACTGAGCAGGAAATATCTTTTGGTCTGTGTTGTCCTCTATTCAATGAATAGGTATTAGGCCATATCTCAGAACAGGCAGAACTTGAGGTCCCAAGGATGACCCTTTCTTGGTAGTGCCTGTGCTTTGTAAGCTGGAAATAGGTATCAGTTGGGTCTTGGTTCTGGGAAGCCCTCTCAGGAGAACTGATCAGGATAAGGGAGGTCTGTCTTTTCTTTCTTTCTCTTTCTCTTTCTTTCTCTTTCTTTCTCTTTCTTTCTCTTTCTTTCTTTCTCTTCCTTCCTTCCTTCCTTCCTTCCTTCCTTCCTTCCTTCCTTCCTTCCTTCCTTCCTTCCTTCCTT